AAGGCCCATGTGCCCGCAGTCGAGGTCACTTTGCCCAGCACAGCGGTCAGCCTCCAATCCACCACTGTGATGGCTTTAGGGGAGGGCAGCGGCTTGAAGCTTGAGAAGCCATCTCTCAAGATGCCCAAAGCTGACATCAAAGCTCCCAAGGTGGACGTCAGCCTGCCCTCTGTCGACATCACCCTTCCACAGGCCAGCGTTGACATGCAGGCACCCGAGGCCACCCTTAGCCTTGAAGAAGAAGCCAAAGGCCCAGGGAAGGAGGCCGGCAAGGCCAAAGATGGCAAGTTCAAGATGCCCAAGTTCGGCATGCCTTCCTTTGGCTGGTCCAGCAGCAGGGAGGCCAAGGGCACTGTGGCCGCTGAGATGGATGTCAGCCTTCAGGAGCCTCAAGTGACAGTGTCGTCGGGAATGGCTGATGTGGACATGACGTTTTCTGACTCTGAGATCCAAGCACCCCGTTCTGATGTTTCCCTAGATTCTTCTCTTTTTAAAGAGGTAGAATTTAGTAAATCTAAAACTTCTGTATTTAGAATGCCTAAAATTTCTCTTTCCAAAAGTTTCAAACCTCATGCACAAAGCCAGTCTGGATGTGATGTTTCTGTTTCAGAAAGTCCTTGTTATTCTTTAACAGAGGAAACTTCTGTTCCTTCTGAGAGTGTTGAACATAAATCTTTTCCTGACATTAAGGTAGAGAGTGTATCTAAAAGTAGCAAATTCAGAATTCCTAGCATTGGTTTTTCTAAATCTGATGTGACCTCATCTACAATTGATCTGGAGTCCTCATTACAAAAGGGGGATATTACTCTTACTAAATACCAAATTAATTCAACAGAATCAGAATCAAAAAGAGCATCTCTTGCTGATGAAAATCTTTCAGATTTTGAAATTTTATGTGAAGATGGTTCTGAGGAGCAAGGAAGTATTAAGCTAGAGGGCAAAACCACATCTGCTGAAGTACCTTTGGCTGACACAGAGGTCACAGTTAAATTTCCTAAATTCCGAAAACCTAAATTCAGAATTCGGTCTAAGGGAAAAGCATCTGAAAGTGACATTGGTTCCAGCATGGAATCTGAAATTTCTAAGGGACGGATAACATCTGATATGACTGATCCTGATATTGAAAAACCAGCTCATATCTCTGATGCCCAACTTGGTGTAAAGTTGCATAAGCCTTCACTTGAAGTTGTTCTGGATGCACCAGCAATGGATCCAAATCTCTCATCCATGGAGGTTACCTTGCCAAACTTTGAAGCAGAAATCCATGGCCCAGATTTAGAGTGCAAGGCAGAACAGGAAGTAGTTACAGGAGAGAAGGATACTGAGGAGAAAGAAAACAAATTTAAATCATCAAAATTCAAACTGCCTTCATTTCGGTGGTCACCAAAGAAAGAAGCTATTGCTTCTTCTCATGCTGAGGAGCATCTGGAAGGACCCACTTTATCTACCTTACCTGGTGACATGGGATCTGAATTAACTTTTCCTACTCCTGACAATCAATACCTTCATGCAGAATTTGATACAACAGAAAAAGATGGTGAAAAGGCCAAAACCAAGAAGTCCCAATTTACCATGCCAAAGATCTCATTCCCTAAAATTAAGGGTCAGAAAGTGCAGGTCTCTCTGCCTGTATTGGAAACTGATGTTTCTGGACCTAAACAAGAAATAGAAGGTGTTTCTGTTCAGAAATCTGAGAAGGGAAGTAGTGGAGAAGGGGCAGAACTGGGCATAAAAGTGCCTAAAGTTACAGTCCCAACTTTGGGACCAGAAGCCAAACCAGAAGCCAAAGCTCCAAAAATAGAGATGGATATTAGCATGTCTACAGGTGAGGTCACAGTTCCTACCTGTGAAGGAGATGAGCTGACACTGAAAGCAGCTGCTGCTCATGTCAGCCTCTCCACCTCAGATATTAAGATGATACCTGAAGGTTCGCTTGAGGTGAAGAGTCCTGACATAAGTGTTGAAGGAACATCAAGTGAAATTGCTGTGGGTGATGTAGAGATAAAACCTGAAGGTTCTGAAGGGAAAACAAAACTGTCTAAATTCCAAATGCCAAAGGTAGGAATTGGACTTTCTAAAGGGAAAGGGTCAGAAAAGGATGTTGGCCAATCCAAATCAGAAGTAAAGGTTCCCCAACTAAAAGCAACAGTAGAAATATCTGACATAGCTGTTGAAGCACCCAACTTGAAGGTAGAATGTGGCACAGAAATGGGGACTTACAGCCCTGAAGCCAAAATTACCAAAACTGACAGTAAGACATCAGAGGCTGATGTTCACCTCCCATCAGCTGACATTCCTATTCCAAAAACAGACAGTGATATTCAGGCCTCAGATGCAGCAGTAAAGATCAAGGGGGAAATAAAGCAAGATGGAGATGGAGAAGAGAAAGAAGGACATTTCAAAATGCCCAAATTCAAACTTCCATCCTTCAGTTGGTCACCAAAGAAGGAAGTAAGTGTTAAATCTGATTCTGGAGCAAATTTGGAAGACCAAAAACTTGCTGTCATGTCAAGCAGAATAGACACAGAAGTAAAAGATACTACAATTGATGATCAAGGTAGTGGGCCAGACCTTGATGTGGAAATATCTGCAGGAAAAGTTGAACAAAAAAGCCCCATTAAAAAGCCTCAATTTGTCATGCCTAAAATTTCACTCTCCAAGATCAAGGTTCCAAAATCTCAGTCTCATTCACCAAGAGTTGAAGCTGATGCTACTCTTCCTAAAAGTGAAATAGAGGGTGATGATTCAATTAAGATACCTGATATAGAAAAAAGTCATCCTGAAGGGATTAAAGAAGGGGCACAAATCACCATAAAACTGGCTGAGACTACGGTCCACACTCTGGACTTTTCCAGAGTAGAAACTGAAGCCTCTGAAACTGAAATAACAGTCAGCTCAGGAAAGATTGATGCATCTTTGACTCCCTCAGAGGGGAGTTTTCAACAGGTTGACTTAAAAATAAGTTCTACCAATGAAGGTAATATTAAAGAAATGGGTACTAAGCTCCCCAAAGTAGAAGCTTCAGTGGATTTGAAGAGCCCTGATATGTTAACAGAAACCTCATCAGTTGTGGATGGAAGGAAAGTGAAATTGGAAGGTCCTGAAGGGAAGATTAAAATGCCCAAATTCCAGAAGACAAAGTTTGGAATGTCCCGAACAAAAGGGAAAGTCCCAGAGTCAGAGATCAGCTCTCCAAAAATAGAAACTGAGCTACCCCAACTAAGAACAACAAATGAAATTGCTGACATTGCTGTGGGAGTTCCAGCATCAGAACTTACATCTGATATGTCAGATCCTGGAATAGTTGATGGTAAGATAAAAACACCCCAAACTCTGACAGGTGGCATTGATGATGCAAAGGTAGACATAGGCACCCAGTCAGTGCCTAAACCAAAAACAGAGGGAGTGACTGAGAGTCTTGGGGAGAAGGAAATCAAATTAAAAGATCATGAAATAAAAGCTGAAGAAGTTCAGACTGAAGAACATCAGGGATGGTTTAAAATGCCAAAATTCAGAATACCTGCATTTAGCAGGTCATCCTTAAAGGAAAAAAGAAGTGATGCTGATATTGAAAGAAGTATGGAAAAAGCTCAGGCAAGTACTCCTTCTGCTAAAGTACAAACTGAAGCAAGTGTTCCTGAAAATATCTTCTCATTACCACATGCAGTTGCTGAAATTACTATTGGAAAAGAAGGGATTCAAAAATTAGGAGATTCTGTGAAGAGTTCTAATGTTAGCTTGCCAAAGATTGAAGGAGATATTTCATTATCCACAGAAAGAACAGATAGTAGAGTGAGTATTCAAAAAACTGAAAGTTACGCAGATGTAGTTAAGCGCAGTGCTGAAGGATATACTTCAGAAATCACAGTGTCTGCAGCAGAATTTTCTAAATCATACCCAAGTTCAGAAAGTGACAAGGAGAAGAGTACAACAAACAGGTTTCCTACATGTACACTGACATTTCCAGAGCATAAAGGCAAATCACAGGATATAAGTGTCCAAAAGGTAGAAAGTTCCATGAAATTAGAGACATCAGGGGTAGAATGCAAACCATCATCAGCTGAAATTACTCTGGATGCAACACAGATGAAAACAGATGTTAGTCTTCCAAAGGAAGTGCTAGATTCTCAAAATAAAGAGGCAGCAATTAAAAAAGGAAAGATAAAGGGTGAGGTGAAAATCATAGGAAAAGACAGTGAAGAAAGCAAATTAAAAAGGACTGCGTGTGAATGGTCTACAACAAAAGGATCGGAAGATGGTACTTATGTTACTGCTAAACTGGAAGATCTAAAGGTAGAAGTTCCAACTGTGAAAACAGATGTTAAAATTACTGGAGTAGATCCTGAAATGAAATTTCAAGTGAAAAGTGTTGAAAAGGATGTGTCTGCAGGAGTGGAAGTGCAAGTAGAAGACAGAGCAGAAATAAGTAAAATTAAAGCATACAAGTTTAAGATTCCAAGATTTGGAATGTTGCATTCTGAAATCAAGGGTTTTGAAGATGATACTGATTTGCCAAAGTCAGAAGCTGATTCAGCATCTAAAAGTGAAAATGGCACAGCAGAAATGCAGTTACAAAAACCAGAAGGATGGATTGGCCTGAAAAGTCCAGATCATATAGAAGCATCTGCCAGAATAACAGGGGGAACAGTGGACCAAATACAAGGTGTCCCAGAAGTAAGTGTAAGAATTCCTAAACTAAAAATACCAAGATTCACTTTCAGAACTCCCCCAATTGAAGCTGATGTTTTGCTGTCAAAAGTTGTAACAGATCCAAAGGGATCTAGTACTGACATTGAAATAGTGCAACTGCAAGCAAGCTCTGCTATCCCTGAAGAAACACCAGGAGCTGTAGAGGGGGGTGTTCAAAAAGCAAAAAGCAAAATTTTAACACTGACTGAACCTGACATTAAAACAGCACAAATGACAGCTACCATTGAGTCCTCCCTTTCAAGTGCAGGGCAAGACATTCATTGGTCTTATATAGAGGGCCAAGAAGTAAGTGAAAAAGTAGAACCTGAACATGTTGCTATTGAGCGGTGTGAGATTTACACCACTGAAATACTGAAAGAATCTGAGATTCTGTCATCAGAGGTCAAAACTGCTACTTTGGGATTCTCATTGCTCAAGGCCAAGTTGCCTGAATCACACAGTGATTTAGACATGCTGGTCCAGCAGCCATCTCCAACAGGAGATGCATCAGTGAGAAAACCTACAGGTGCTGGTGAAAGTTTGGGAGTAGCAGCACAGAGAACTGAGCTCAAACTATCTGACAAACCACACTGTGAGTCTGAAGAATCTAGAGGAAAAGTAAGTTTGTCAAAGTTAAAAACATCTGCTGCTGAAGTAAAGGGTTCCAGTAAACCTGAAGAGAGTTTTCCTGATAAATCACCAGAGGGAATAACTCCAGCTCCTCTCTCTGAAGATGAAGATGTAGTTGAAGCAGTGGAAGGTGAAGAAAAAGACATGACCAATGAGAAAGAAAAGACTGATAGTAAAAGATCTCCTGGAAGATTTAAATTTTGGCTTCCAAGTATTGGCTTTTCATCTTCTGGGGATGAAGCAAACACAGATGCAAAAGCAGAAATAAAAAAATCAGTTCTAGAAGATGTGAAACCTGCTGACACATCAGATGATTCCTCTAAGCAGGGTGAAAAAACTGGATGGTTTAGACTTCCCAAGCTTGGTTTCACATCTCCCTCCAAAAAGTCTAAGTCTGTTCTCAAAGAAGAGTTGGGTCATAAAGAGGGGAGACTCTCAGATGAAGATAGCCCAACAGATAAGCCAGATGTGTTTTTTGATGCACAAGAAAGCTTATCACCTAAAGAAATAGGAGAGGGTGAAAAAGCTGAGACTGATGGGGCCTCATCTATTGTGACATCTTCAGCAAGAACTGAACTAATCTTGCTGGAGGAAGACAGTAAATCTAATATTGTTGGAGATACAACCAAATGAAGGTTGTATTTTCTCAATCATCAATGAAAACAAAATCACAGAAGAGAATGTTTTCCTAATTTTCTACTAATTGAAAATTAAAACCCAAGGTTGGTATTCATGAAAACACTTGAACAGAATTTACTATGTTAAAATTTTCAAGTACATGGATGTACTAGATTGTACACTAATAAAAATAATTTCATCATATCTTCCCCAATGGCAACAATTATGACACGTGCAGATGAACCCATAGTTTGAGCAAAGTCTGAGTAGATACCAGAACCATGTAAGTAAATCACTGAAAGGCTCCATGATAGCAAAAGAATTGTTAAAAAGGGTTCTCAAAACACATCAGTTATATTTCGATTACAGATTATTTCCAGAATGGGCTCTAAACAAGTATTATGAGAACTATACTTACCTGTTTAGATTTTGGAACTTTCTGATCTACTTTTGCTTTTTATTAAAATGTCTTTTTATTTCAGCTAAGGTAGTTGTATATTCCACAAACATTTTAAAATATAAAGTAAAAATTAAATATTAGTGTAGAGAGACTAATGCTTTGCCTCTTCCTCTCTTCTCATTTTTTATTATTGTGGCGGGTCATATTTAGCCTTAAAATAATTAAAAAAAAAAAAACAGCAAAAACCAACAGAATAATTTCAATACCAAAAAACATGTAAGTAAATCATGTTTGTAAGATACCAGAATAAAACATGCTTACAAAGAATATTATTCAAATGTGGATAAATAAATTTTAATGTATATACTTATGGGATAGTTAAATGCTTAGAATGATCTGCCACACTGGTGGAATTGCTTCAGAGATTTTCTGGGAAAGGAGGTGTATATAATTATTTGCTCCTCTGTTTATATTAACGCTTCTCTCAAGTGCACAATGAAAACCAGAGTGCATATGTGACAGCCTTCACATGTACCATTAAAACACTGTCTGTATTCTTAATTCACAATAAATTCACTATATGAATAATAACTTGAGTAGTGTGAGTTACTGACATTTCTGATTAGGAAAATCCCAGGTTAAATTTACAAAAGTTTGCATGTACTTCAGTGACTGCTGAGGTGGATGCTTAATGACAGCACAGTTCCTTAACATAAGGGTAATGGAGACTTTTCATTCATTATAATCCCGAGTTGAATCATAGAATGTGTTGATTTGGAAGGAACCTGTCAGGATCCTTGAATCTCACTCCTGGCCCTGCATAGGACACGCCAAGACTCCACCATGTTTGTGACAACATTGTCCAAAGGCTTCTTGAACTCTGTCAGGCCTGGGGCTGTGACCGCTGCCCTGGGGAGTCTGTCCCAGTGCTCAAATACCCTTTGGGTGAAAAGTCTTCTCCTAACATCTGTCCTAAACCCCTCATGACTCAGTTCCAGCCATTTCTCAGGTCCTGTCACTGGCCAGGAGAGTGAAGAGATCAGCACCTGCCCCTCTGTTTCCCCTCGTGAGCATTTGAGGGCCACACTGAGCTCTCCCCTCAGTCTCCTCCAGGCTAGACAGACCAAGCAACTTCAGCCACTGCTCATACAGCTTCCCCTCCAGACCCTTCATCATCCCTGTAGCCTCCTTTGGACCCTCTCTAATACCTTTTCTTTAATTGTGGCACCCAAAACTGTTCATTGGACTCCAGGCAAAGCTGCCCCAGTGCAGAGCAGAGCAGGACACTCCCCTCAAATACAAAAACATTTTCCCGGGAGACTTTACTCACTAGTTCCCTGAACAACCTGAAGTCAGCTCTCCTCCTGTCCAGAGTTGAAGTTTTGCTGTCCCTTTTCCTCCTGTCAACAGAGATTTTAAACTCAATTTCTTTGTGGCCTCTTTGGCCAAGACGGCTGTCATCACCACTTCACTCACGAGATCCTCTCTCCAGAATAACAAGTGCAGACATGCTTCATTATAGTTGTTTTCTCTTCCCACATTTCTCCATATTCTACTTAGCACAGGAAAGCAGACCCAGCAAAACCCATTAGGAAATGAGTTGTAAGTGAAGTGTACTTGGTGTCGAACCATCTGTAGATTAAGATGTTCTTAATTTCTTCTATTCTTATCACAGAATCATAGAATGTTAAGGGGACAGAAGGAAACTTAAAGATTGTCCATCTAACCCCCTGGCATGGGCAGGGACACCTTCCACTGGCCCAGCTTGCTTGGAGCCCCACCCAGCCTGGCCTTGAACAATCCCAGGGGCAGCTGCAGCTTCTCTGGGCAGCCTGACAGGGCCTCACCACCCCCACAGTGAAGATTTTTTCCTTATATCTGATCTAGCTCTGTTTCACATGATAGACATAATAGAATAGAATAGAATAGAATAGAATAGAATAGAATAGAATAGAATAGAATAGAATAGAATAGTTAATTGAAAGGGGCCCACAATGATCATTCAGTCCAATTGCTTGACCACTTCAGGGATGACCAAAACATCAAAAAAACATTGAGGTTATTAAGGGCACTGTCCAAATGCCTCTTGAACATTGACAGGCTTGTGGCATTGAACACATCTCAATACAAGTCTGGTTTAGTGTTTGACCACTCTCTTGGTAAGGAAGTGTTTCCTAGTGCCAAGTTTGAACCTACCCTGATGCAACTTTGAACTATTCCCACACATCCTAACACTGGATACCAGGAAGAAGGAACTGGCACCTCCCTCTTCAGGAAGCTGCACCACCACAATCCACCCTGCAACTAAAGCTGACTTTTCTGAGCCTCTACAGAGAGCAGAGGTCTGTGAGTCAGTGCCCATGGCCCAAGAGCTATCCTCTCAGGATTGTGGGGATAGTCATGACTGTCAAGAAATTAAGTGTACCCTCATATGGCATAAATGGTAGATTAAATGTTTTCTCAGTACCTGTATTAAAGCAACAAAGGTATGTTTTATCTGGAACAACAGGGAAAGGAAAATCCTGGGTAATTGCAGGAAAAAAATGTGAACAGATAACACTAAAGCTTTTGGAACAAGCTGTGTCTAATGTCTAAGGTGACTGTGTGGTCATGTCAGTGCTCATAACCCATGGAGCCAGCTAGGTTCTGTCTTGCTGTCAGCTGCATTGCTGTTGCAGCACTGTAGCCACAAGGCACTGCACCAAGAGCTTCCAGAGGTGATCCTGCTGGGGGAGCAGTGCAGCAGCTCCTCCTGAAAGCCCCTGCAGTGAAGCAGAGCCAATTAACACTCCTTGTACTCCCTTGTCACACAGGCACCTGAGATGAGCTGATCAGGGGAGAGTATCCATGCTCAAGAGCCAAAACAGTGACCTTTTTTAGACATGAATAAACCAACACTGACAAAAATGTGAACAGCCTACAGTTAGACTAGAAAATCATAGAGTATCCTGAGTCAGAAGGGATTCACAAGGTCCAGCTCCTGGTTCTACACAGTACAACCCCAAGAATCTCACCACATCTTCAAGAGTGTATTTAAAACACTTCTTGATGTGACAGCTTTCCTGGGGAGCCTTTCCACTGCCCAGCCACCCTCTGGGTGAAGAACCTTTTTCTAATAGCCAATCTGCACAAGGATGATGCTAATAAATGGCATTAGAAGACCCAGGATACATTCAGTACAGTCCTTAGCTTGGAGAAATCACAATCTAAATGAAAGACATAAGTAAGAGGTGAATGAATAAGGACTATTATTAACCCTGTTTCATAAATAGAAAAAAATTGAGACTCAAAGCCTGGTTATAATTTACATGATACTCTACCTTTCTAATAGAAAACAAGTAAATGAGAATCAAGGTGTGAGCAAGCTTCAAAAGTCCCACAAGTAACCAGGGCAATATTCCCAAGTTCCTCTTAGATCAAGTTCATTGTACTAATTGTAAACTTCCCATATGTAGAGGAAAACCAACAGTGATGTCAGTATAGAAAACAGAAGAGCACTCTCCTAAGCATCCATTCTTCTTTTATAAGTGAAACATTAACCCACCTGAGGTTTATGTGGCCATAAGAAAAATTCTGCCAGCTTGTACAGAAACTTTGTGGCACTGGACAACTAATCCAGCACTGTCAGCTTTGAGCTCCCAAGCAGAAGAAAGTTTCTTCTTACTCCTGCAATAGCTATCCCTGCCGAAACAGAAAACACAGCTTGGAGTGCCATCTAGAGGAATGCACTCCTCTACAGAAAACTGTTTTGTGGGTGGAAGATGTAAGGTCTCAAAGGTGGTGGAAGATGTAATGTCTCAACGATTTTCAAGCTAACTCTAGTAAGGAAATAGGGTGTGAGAGCACGAAAAGCACCTGCATGTTATTCAATATTTTGGCATGTATGTGAATACTCCCAAAATTTCAGTGATGTCTGTACATGTAACTACATGTCTTAAAGAATCTGCCACAGTAACACGAAGCATTGATTTGTAATGATGGATAAAATACTCCAAGAAATCTTGGAAGTATCTGAAAAAATAGCTAAGGAGCAGTCTGGAAACTAAAAAAAAGGAACATTGATGGGGGTCATCTCTAAAAGTCCTTATTTCTATGGGGATTTTTGTGTATGCACAGCCCTGGCAAGGCTCCAGCCCAGTGTCACTCACTGCTGGAGCACGAGCCCTGCTCTCCTCTCCTGTCACCTCAGAAAGTCACCCAGGGCAGAGCTGGGGTGGATATGGATTCAAGCACCAGATGGCTCAGGGCTGTGGTCCCTGGGTGAGTGCAGGAGGAAAGGCAGCCCAGAGACACACCACTGCTCAGGGCCAGCACCAGGGCAGCCCAGAAGGAGCAAGGAGGCTCTCCAAGCCCTGCCCACAGTGCAGGTGGGACGCCCTAGCCACGACAGCACCCATGTAGAAGCTTTGCCCTGCTCCCCATCCTGTTTGCTGCACAAGACAGACACACAGACATCCAAACATCCCCAGACTCCAGGGCAGCTGAGCTGGAAACTGGCCCCAAAGTTTAAATCCCAGATATTCATCTCTAGCAGTCACTTAAAAACAGGTAATCTCTAATTTTTTCAACCAACATTAATCTCTGTATCTCTATTTTCTAAATTCTTTTAAAAATCTGCCCTTGCTATTGCAGGTGATCATATGCATGGCTGAAATATTAAGGTGGCCAGGAGTTTATTAAAAATGCTTAAACACATGTAAGCAAACACTGTTAATGTAACCTCTAGGTTGAAATATATAGTTTCTAAAGATAAAATAGCAGAGCAATAATGATCTCTGTCTCTGATATTTGCTTGAATGCCAGACAGCTTGTCGTACAACTGTATCCATTTCATTAACTCTGCAATGAGGTAATCACACACAAAAAAAAAAAAAAAATCAAACCTCACACATTGACTAGTGGTTTTACAGGTAGAGTCAACTATCAGAAATTCACATGTCACCAATGTGAATGCTACAAGGAAGTGATTTCTCTGACAAAGACAAAAAGAAGAGTTCCTTGATTTGCATGTGAACAAGATTCAAATGCATTTTTTTGTTTCTATTTTAAGTGCACATTTCAATTCACTTCAGGGTCTGCATCCCAGTTACAGTCTTTCTGTCCCTGCACATCTTCCAGATTCACCGCATATTTGGAATTCCAGTCTCGCTCAAAAAGATTTTTCAACTGCTCCTGGATAGGTTGTTGCTTTCTTTGCAGGTTGGTTGAATTCTGTTTGATAATTAGTCCCACGCCAGCTGTATCAGTGAAGTAGTTTTCTGACCAATTGGAAGTCCCTATGCAATGGAAAAGTAGCTGATTAGAAAACATTAATTTCCCAGTGTTCTGTTTGATCTCTGGGCTTTGTTGATTCGCTCTATGACTGCAAATCTCATTAGGACCAACGAGGCAGCAAAAATCAGGTCACCTCCTTCTTATGCCAGACCTCAGGTTTTGAAAACTTGGTATTAACTGCAACCTTGAGGGTTCATAACCTTCTGATTCATTACAGCCTGTGACAGAATGCACAAATCTACTCATAAACATGGTAATAAAGTGCAATATTTGAGTATTAAGAGAAGTAAGAGCCAGTGTTTGACATGGGTTTCAGT